ACTCCAGATGTTTCCTCTTATTTCTCCAAATTCAAAATATAAGCACTCCTTGAGGTTCTAGCCCTAATGTTGTGTTTTTATACTCTCTGAGAAGAGGCAAACACCTTTTTTCACAACTTGGATAATTAACTCTTCGGAGGGGAGTCTTAACTTTTTCATCTTTACTCCAAAACTTTCTCAAGGTTTCTATTTTCAATTGTTGAATCATCTCCACTTAACAATCTTATTATCACCTTAAAAATGTAAAAACTGCAAATTTTTTTAACCAAATCAAATTCCATTCTTAACTTCTCTACTTCTATTTATACTATATCCCAGTTATCCAGGTTAAATCCATGGAGTCATCTTTGACTTGTCCATCTTTTACCTTACATAATCTATTTTCAGGTCCTATTTCTCTGCCATTGCTTAAATTTATCTTCTCCTTAATATTTGATCACAAACCTGGTTGGGTCATCATTACCTCGTCCTCAGGCTCCTGACTTTCCACTTGCTCCTTCCCTAAACAACCTTAAAAAACTGTTGCTAGAACACTGCAACAGCAAAAAAATGGAAAACAGCCTAAATGTTCTCCATTTTTACATCTGCATATGTGTATGGTTATATTAAAAATAATGGAAGGTTAAAATAACAAACCTAAAGAATGATACATCTGTATTAGATAATATTTATAGATGTATATGTGCCTGTGTGTAAGGCAGTGCACATACAGTCTCAGGAAGAAACAGAGATAAAAGCTAGGCTTCTTTGTATATACCATGTTTTACTGATTTGTTATATTTTTATATAGTAATTAAAAAATCTCAACTGTTAAATATCAAGATACAAATCAAGTGAATAATCTGAAATGTGTCAAGATGGAGGCGTTAAGTTACAGAAATGTTATTTTAGTTTACTTTAAAATATATTAATTTGTATGTATCTGGTATCCTAAGGATGAAAACTATTTTAAATTGTTTTTAGTAATCATATTATAATGGTAGTGATGGTATTGTTATTCTGAGACTACTGTATGTATGTGTGTTGTGAAAAAAATAAGAAATTATGAAGGTACCAATAGGAACCACGACTTTTATGTGAGAGAATGAAGATACAAATGTTAAGATTTAAGAGAGTAACTAAAAACCCTGTGGATCTGCATTTGAAATGAAAGTATCAATGTGAACTAAACATTTTATCTTAAATTAATACACATTATTTCTGAGCTGTTTTTTTCTGAAAAGACCTGCTGTTTCACCAGCCTATAGGTACCCACAGCACCTAGATTATGGTTTCCAAAGATCACTTTCCATGAAAAGGAACTAGGGCACTTTAGAGAAAAGGCCAATTTCTAGTCTTGGGGAGCAAATGCAAAAGATGAGGCAAGAACATTCTGTTATAAGAGAATGAAAGGAAGCTAATGAAGACTACTGTGATAATGTTCAAAAGACACGGTTTCCACATAAGACAAGGGTATGACTCACTACTTCTATTTCCATTGTAGTGGGAAGTCACGGCCAGTATAAAAAAAGATTTAAAAAATTAGAAGATAAAGATTGGGACAGAAGAAATAAATCATTATTCTTATTCACATATAACATGATAGTATACTAAAAAAATCCAAAAAGCTATCTCCCCAGGCAAGGGAAACAAAAGCAAAAATGAACAAATGGGACTATATCAAGCTGAAAAGTTTCTGTACAGCAAAGGACACCATCAATAGAACAAAAAGGTATCCTATAGTATGGGAGAATATATTCATAAATGACAGATCCGATAAAGGGTTGACATCCAAAATATATAAAGAGCTCACACATCTCAACAAACAAAAAGCAAATAATCCAATTAAAAAATGGGCAGAGGAGCTGAACAGACAGTTCTCCAAAGAAGAAATTCAGATGGTCAACAGACACATGAAAAGATGCTCCACATCACTAGTCATCAGAGAAATGCAAATTAAACCATAATATCCCCTCACACCAGTAAAGATCGCCACCATCCAAAAGACAAACAACACAAATGTTGGTGAGGTTGTGGAGAAAGGGGAACCCTCCTACACTGCTGGTGGGAATGTAAATTAGTTCAACCATTGTGGAAAGCAATATGAAGGTTCCTCAAAAAGCTCAAAATAGAAATACCATTTGACACAGGAATTCCACTTCTAGGAATTTACCCTAGGGATGCAGCACTCCAGTTTGAAAAAGACAGATGCACCCCTATGTTTATCGCAGCACTATTTACAATAGCCAAGAAATGGAAGCAACCTAAGTGTCCATCAGTAGATGAATGGATAAAGAAGATGTGGTACATACACACAGTGGAATATTATTCATCCATAAGAAGAAAACTACCATTTGCAACAACATGGATGGAGCTAGAGGGTACTATGCTCAGTGAAATAAACCAGGCAGAGAAAGATAAGTATCAAATGATTTCACTCATATGTGGAGTATAAGAACAAAGAAAAAACTGAAGGAACAAAACAGCAGCAGAATTACAGCACCCAAGAATGGACTAACAGTTACCAAAGGGGGAGGATAGGTGGGAAGGGAGGGATAAGGGAGGAGGGGGAAGAAACGGTGCATTACAATTAGCATGTATAATGTGGCGGGGGGAGCATGGGAAGGGCTGTGCAACACAGAGAAGACAAGTAGTGATTCTACTACAGCATCTTACTACGCTGATGGACAGTGACTGTAATGGGGTTTGTGGGGGGGACTTGGTGATGGGGAGGAGTCTAGTAAACATAATGTTCCTCATGTAACTGTAGATTAACGATACCAAAAGAAAAAAAGTTAATGCTAGAGGTATCAAATTCACACACACAAAAAAATCCAAAAAGCTCCACAGATAAACCATTAGAAGGAATCCAGCAAGGTCACTAGATGTAAGGCCAACATAAAAAGAATTAGTTGTGTGTATATATATATATATCAGCAACAAATAAATAGAAAATACACAAAATATTACCTAAAATAGCACTAGAATCATCAACTAAGCAAAAAATATTGAGATGTTTAGAAAAGGTGCCTATTGATGAGAGAGAGCAGTTTGAATATACAAAGGAACATTAACTGTAATGACTGAAACACAAATAAGTTTAAATTCATAGTAATACTAAAAATGTTCTCATTGGTTAACTTTATAGGAAACAACTGATTACTTCAAAAACATAAAGAGAAACAATCCAGCCTTTTCTGTACTAACTTTTAATAGACATTTCTTTTAATAGAAGTAGAAGTATTCCCAGCTAATTAGAGAATTTGAGTATCACCTGCAACACCAATGAAATAACAGATTCAGGCCATGATCATAAACGACTGCTAATATTATAAAAAAATAGAAAACGCAGATACTGTGTCTTCCAATGAAAGAACACAATACTGCTTATGAGGTATTTCTGCTAAACTGAACCTGAATTTGAAAGCCTCAAGATTTAACTATTGGTTTCAGGAAATACAGAGGAACATGTAAGATGCTGTCATGAAGGTAACAGCAAACATGAGATTGTAGGAAACTCTGCAAAGGACCCAAGTTTTTCAAGAACTAAATCAAAAGGAAAAAAAAGAGTGAAAGAAAATCTATACATTAATACATAATTAACATACATATTCCAATATATGGATGTAATTTTCATCTTGACTACAACTTACAAAACATTTATGAGGTAATGAAAGAATTACTATTAATTTTTAAGGTGTGCTAACTGAACTGTGTTTATACACATACATGTGTGTATCTGTATTAGAGTCCTCATATTTTACAGATATATATTAAAACATCTTCAGATGAAATATCATGTCATATTTGCTCTAACATAATCAAATTTAGGGAGATATATATGAAATACTACTGCCATGTTTCAATAATTATTGAAGCTGGGTGACGGGTAGGTACAAAGAGATTCATTCACCATTCTCTCTATTCTTGTATATTTGAAATTTTCCATAATAAATAAGCAAAAAAAATGTGGAATGGTTTTTTAATGTATGTTACTACCCTACACAAAATCCTTTAAGGGCTCTCCTCTACCTACCAAACTGAGAACATCTGCTAGATTCAACTCTCAAATTTTCCAACCAGTCTTCTATAGTCTAGCACCAAACACTGTAATATTTCCCATCTAACATTTGCTTTATTATTTCCAAATGAAATGCATTCTCTCTACCATTTCAGTCTTCTACATTTTCCTCACCTTCAATGCTTGCCTCAGGTAATAAAACCTTAGAGTTAAAAGAGGACTTAAACTGAGATGCAGCTAGTTTAGTGGTTTTTAAACAATTTGAGAAGTTGAAGTTCAGAAGTCTGAATTTATAAGTTTTTCTTCAAGCAAAATCTCTTACAACCCCAATTTATAACACATAAAAAATATAGTAAGCTTTGATGCTTTTGACAAAGGGCAGCTTGGATTCCTTCCTAACAAGCTTCCACTCCTGAACAAAGAATGACAATCACTAGTGACTTCATCCTTGCAAAGGTACTTTTAGAAGAGACAATAAAACTGTGGATAAAATGAGAGTTCCTATGGCCAGGATTCTCACCTGGCAGTGGTTGACTAGCTTACTGCACACCTGTGGGCAATACATGGCTGTTGACTCTATATAAAGAGCTCCACCCAGGGCTCTGGGAGTGAAATGGTGGCAGGGCTGCAAGGCTGCAAGAGAGCAGAGCAGAGGCTGGTGTGGCGGCTGCGCCGAGGACAGAAGCCCAGAGGATGGCTGTGTGGGACGACTGTGCAGAGAGGCCCTGAGGACAGCTGTGTGGGATGGCTGTGCAAAGAGGCCCAGAGGACAGCTGTGCAGACAGAGGGACCCAGAGGCAGAGACCAGCTTGCTGCCTGCATATGCACTCTGAGTGAACAGGATTTTAGTGACTGACCTGACACCTGGAAATAAAGTTGGGTATAACCCTTTCACCCCAAGAATGTTTTGCTGTCATTTTCTTTGGTCACACTGAATCCATAGTGAACTTGCCTGGGGCTGAAACCCACTGGCAAGACAAAAATGAAACAAAAAACCTACACCAACTTCATCAGACATCATAATAGTTCACATGGGATGGCATGAAACTTGTAAATTTAATAAAGATCCAAGGTAGGAGGGAAAAAGTCTGAGAACCAGTAATATATGATTCATCTATAACTGAAACTAAGGAAATGGTTGAAGAGGGTAAAGTATGGAAGTCACAACTTCATTAAAGATATATAACCTAATTCATGAGTAATTAAACTTTTCCTTTCCATCTAATCACTGTATAAACAAATAAAATATAAAGCTAATCTTTCATTGGTCTATTAGAAATCCCCACTCATCTAAATTAAAAAGGATTAAATCACATTTGGATCGATCTATTAGGACACTTGAAAATGGGCAGTCTTAAAGCATTTGTGATAATCCTCTATTAATCAAAATAATTAATTTATCAAATTATTCCCTAACATACTTTAACATTTTTCTGCATTTATAGGTGTAGTTTGCATTCATGAACTTCTCTGACATGAGAAATGATGTTTTACTGTTTTTTTAATATCATGCAGCACCATAATTGGCAAAAATCAGGCAGTCAAATGTCTGTTAAATAAATCAACAAATGAATAAGATAATTATTTATATTCTTAGCTTCTAATTATAAAAAAGCAACAAAACACTTGAGTTCCATACCAGGACACAATGGTGAATATCTGCTGCATAGATAACTTTAAAAACTTACAAGAAAATTTCTTTTAAAATAAAAAATGAGTAATGGCTTTATAATTTAGTCTATAAAAATAAATGGCTTCATAATAAATCAAAAATTACTTTTCCAAAAAATAAAAAAAGTTTAGAACCCCTAATGTTTCAACATAAATTGACGAACATTTATAAATTTTCAGCAGTCTCTAGCCACCGCTGTCCCAAGACTCTTGATTTTTAAAGCTGAAAACCACCAATATTTAAAAAATATTTCTACTAGTCAAAACACCAAAAAGTAACAGATTTTTAATATGACAATGGATTCCCTAATTCACATACTAAATTGCTCTATACAAGGAGATTTCACAATCCAGGCACCATAGCCATGTTGCTGCAAGTAGGATTTCAATAAAGTTTTAGCTTCTTGATAGGATCCAGACATACACTATAGAAAGAAAAAAAAATTGAATTATAGAATACAGGCAAAATTTGGCTTTTATACAATGTAAATAGCCCTAATGTATTTTTAGTTTGACACTTTAGAAATTAATGAAAACCTTTTTGAATCCCTATTTTTCTCAATATTATTTTTGAAACTAAAAATGTTCCTTCTCAATGCTCTTGAAAAGTCAATTTTTCTTCTTTTTTAACATTTTCAATTAAAAGAGTAATTGTACTCATCACAGAAAACTTGAAAGTAGAGAAAATGTAAAGGAAATAAAAATCACCTGTATTCCCTTAACTATAGATAACTACCATTAATAGTTTGGTTTATTTCCTGTCACTTTTTATAAATGAATATATAGATGAACTTCAAAAAAAAGCTTTACTGAAGTATAATTATATGCCGTAAACTCACCCCCCATAAGTATACAGTTTGATATTTTTTTAGTAAATTTATACAGGTGTACAACCATCATCAAAGCCCAATTGTAAAACAACTCCATCACCTGCAAAAAGCTCCACTGTGCTCATCTGCAGGCAATTTATATTCCCAGCCTAAGCCACAGATAAGCACAAATCCACTTTCTATTTCTAAAGTGTTGCTTTTTCTAGAAATTTAATAAAAATTAACAGAATATGTACTCTGTTGTGTCAGGCTTCTTTCAGTTAACATAAGTTTTTCAGATTCCTTCATGTTGTTTCACGTATCAGTACTTCCATTTTATTGCTGATAGTGTTCCATTGTGTTGATATATTACATTGTTTATTCATTTAGCAGCTGATGTACATTTGAATATTTCCACTTTTTAGCTATCATGAATAATGCTGCTGTAAACATTTATGTGTGAGTCTTGAGTGGACACAGTTTTTGTTTCTCCTGAATAGATACCAGTAGAATTGCTGGATCACATGGTAAGTATATGTTTACATTTACCTCTGTAAGAAACTGTCAAACTGTTTTTCAGTGATTATACCATTTTACATTCCCATCAGCAGTGCAAGAGGTTTCCAGTTTCTTCAGAAACCTGGTATATAGTATTCTGGATTTTAGTAGATAATGCAGTGTTTATCTCATTGTGATTTTATTTTGCATCTCCCTAATACCTAATGAGGCTGTGCATGTTTTATACATGTATTAGCTATTCATATATATATTCTTTGGCATTTTAAAAAGCTGGGCTGTTTGCCCACTGAATACTGAGTTTTTTATATATTCTGGATTCAAGACCTTTGTTTATTGTATGATCTGCAATTATTTTATTTTCCAGTCTGTGGCTTGTATTTTCATTTTCTTATTAATGACTTCTGAAAAGCAAGTTTTAAATTTTGGAGTCCAAATGATCAATTTTTTCTTTTTCTGGATTGTTGCCTTTGTTGTTTATATCTAAGAAATATTTTCCTAACCTAAGAAAATAAATATTTTCTTCGGAAGTTTTATTAGACTTTTAGCTTTTTAGATCTACAATCCATTTTTACTTAATTAATTTGTATGACTGATACAAGTCTAAGTTAACTTTTTTGTTTTGCCCACAAATATCCACTGACCCAGCACCATTTGTTGAAAAGACTGTTCTTTCCCCCATTAAATTACCTTGGTACTTTTGTACAAAAATCAATTGACCATAAGTGTGTGGGTTTATTTCTAGACTCTTATTCCGTTCCATTGATCTATAATAATTATTATACATTGTCTATTATTACATCAATACATTGTCCTGATTACTGTGGCCTTATGATGTTTTGAAACCAGGTAGGGTAAATCTAAAAATTTTGTTCTTTTGAAAAATTAAGTTGGTCCTTTTAGGTTCTTTGGATTTACACATTATTTTTAGAATTAGCTTGTCAATCTATATATAAAAGTCTGCTGGGATTTTGATAGAGCTTGCATTGAATGCATAGATTAATTTGGAGAGAAGTGACATCCTAACAATACTGAGTTTTCCAATTCCTGAAATGGTACATTTCTCCATTTATTTAGGTCTTTTTTAATTTCTCTCAGCAGTGTTTCATCATTTTCAGCACACAGGTCTTCACTTCTCTTGTTAAATTTATTCCTAAGTATTTCTTTTTATGCTATCATGGATGAAATTGTTTTCCTAACTTAAATTTTGGAGTGTTCATTCCTATACAATTTATTTTTCTATAGTATTCTTTCATTGTGTGATAAATTCACATAACATAGTTGTTTACAATTGGTATTTTCCACAGGATATTTTATAACAAGATTACATTAGTTAGAAATAAGGATAGTTTTTCTTCTTACTTTCCAGTCTAGATTGGATGCCTTTTATTTCTTTTTCTTGCCTTGCTGCACTGGCTAGGACCTACAAAACAATACCAAACAGAACCAATGAGAGCAGATGATCTTGCTTTGCTCCCCAATCTTGGAGGCTAGGGCAGGGGAAAGAGTATTCAGTCTTTCACCATTAAGTGTGATGTCAACAGTAGGGTTTTCATTGATGCTCTTCATCAAGTTGAGGAGTACACTTTTATTTCTTATTTGTCCAGTGTTTTTTATTGCAAATAGTTGTTGGATTTTGTTAGATGCATTTTGTACATCTTTTGAGATAATTATGTGGGTTTTGAACTTGAATCTACTCATATAATGTATTATTATCAAATTATTTCCTGATGTTAAATCAATCTTGCATTCCTGGAATAAACCTCCTTGGTCATGGTTGTATAATCCTTTTTATATGTTACTGGATTCGGTTTGTCAACCTTAAGAATTTCTGCATTTATGTCCCTGAGAGTTACTGGTTTGTTGTTCTCATTTCTCATGTTTTTGTCCAGTTTTACTATCATGGTTATACTAGCCTCATATAAGGAGTTGGGAAGTGCTCTTGCCCCTATTTTATGAAAGTTTTTATAGGATTTGTATTATTTTTCGCTTATATGTTTGGCAGAATTCACCACTGCAACCACATCTGCACTTGTGGCTTTCTTTAGGGAAAGAATTTTAATTAATAAATCAATTTCTTTAGTTCAATTTGGATATTCTATTTAGCCACTAGGTTTCATAATTTATGCCTTTCTAGGAATGTGTCCATTTCATCTAACTTGTCTATTTGTTGACAAAGGGTTGTTGTTTCTAATATTCCTTTATAATTATTTTAGATCTTCAGTTTGTAGCAATGATTCCTTCTTTCATTCTAGTCTTGAGTATTTGTGTTCTCTTACTTATGATTTCATTGACTTTTCTACTAATTTTTCTGTTTTCTATTTCACATATTTCCATTCCTTTCTATTTTATTTACTCCTTCTTACTTTGATCTGCTCTTCGTTTCCAATATATGCATTCAAAGCTGTAATTTTCTAAGCACCTCTTTGACTATATCCCGTAAGTTTTAATAGGTTGTACTTTCATTTTCATTCAGTTCAAGATATTTTTAACTTTCCCTTATAATTTCTTCTTTGATTCATTCATGAGTTATTCAGGGGTTGTTTAATTTCTAAATGTATCATAATTTCCATGATTTCATTCTGTTACTGATTTTTAATTTAGATCCATAGTGGTTAGAATATACTTTGCATGATTTTAATCCATTTAAACTTATTGAGACTTGCTTCATAGCCTATACAGTCTATACTGGCAATGATCCATGTGTACTTGAAAAGAATGTATATTCTGCTGTTGAATGTTTTATGTGTCAGTTTGGTTTGGCTAGTTGGTAGTGTTATTTAAGCCTTCTATATTCTTACTGATTTTCTGTCTAGATGTATTACTAATTACTGAGAGAGTATTAAAACCTCCAACTATAGCTGTACAATTGACTACTTCACCTTTCAATTCTGTCAGTTTTTGCTTATATATTTTGGGATTCTGTTGTTACACCCATAAATATAATTGTTATATATTTTCCTGGTGTATTGACCTCTTTACCACTATTTAATGTTGCTTTTCCTAGTAGTATTTCTCATTTCTATGTAGATATGTTTTGATATTAATATAAAAACTCCAGCTTTCTTTATTGCTACTGTTTGCATAGTACATTTTCTTTTCATCCTTTCACTTTCAATCTATTTGTGTCTTTGAATTCAATGTGTCTCTTGCAGACAGCATATAGTGGGACATTGCTTTTTTACCCAGTCTGACAATCTCTGCCTTTTCTCTGAAGCATTTAGTCTACTCAACTTAAATGTAATTATTGATGTAGTAGATTTATGTCTATCATTTTACTACTTTCCAAGTCCCATGTCTTTTATTTCTACCTCCTCTTTGCTACCTTCTAGTCTTTTTTAAAAATGAATTTTTAGTATACCATTTAAATTCCTCTGTTGATATTTTATCTGTAGTTTTATTTATTTCACAGTTACTTTAGGAATTAACATATGCCTCTTTATCTTATCATATTCTACTCCAGATTCAAACTGACTCAATCTGGTAAAATAGAGCAACTTTGTTTCAACACTGATCTGTTTCTTTCCCAGTCCTCTGTTATATTATTGTCATTTATACTGCATCCATATGTTACAAAATCAATAATACAGTAATAAAATTGTTTTAAATAACTAGTTTTTAAAAAAAGAAAAGTTACATGTCTTTTATAATTATCAATTTCAGTATTCCTTATTCTTTATTCCTTCCTATAGATTTGTTATCATCTGCTGTAACTTTTTCCAAGCCTAAAGGACTTCCTTTGAAATTCCCTTCTAGAGAAGTTCTGCTAAAATCAGATTTTTATATTTTTGCCTACCTGGAAATTTTTTAATTTGCTTTTATTCTTGAAGGATTATTTTGCTGACTACAGAATTCTTTTGCCAGGTTTTTTTCTTTTAGCACTTTACACATGCCATTTCACTGAACTCTTGTCTCCACTGTTTATCTAACAGCTTTGTCAAAATATACTTCATATATTATAAAATTCACCCATTTTAAAATATGAACTCAGTGGCTTAGTATATTCACAAAGTTGTACAACCATCACTATTAACTGCTAATTCCACATAATTTCATTATCCTGTCCCTATTAGCAGTCACTCCTCATTCTCTCCTTATCCCAGCCCTTGGAAATCACTAATTTCCTTTTTGTCTCTACAAATTTGCCTATTCTGACATTTCATATAAGTGTAATCATATAATATTGCCCTTTTCTGTCTGGCTTCTTTCACTTAACATGTTTTCAAGGTTGATCCATGTTGTAGAATGTATCAGTACTTGATTCCCTTTTATGGATATGCCATTATACAGATATGCCATACTTTGTTTATCCATTCATTAGGTGAACATTTGGGTTGTTTCCACCTTTTAGGTATTATGGATACTGCTGCTATGAACGTTTATGTACAAGTTTTGGTGTGGATATATGTATTCAACTCTCTATGAGTGGAATTACTCAGTTACATGACAACTATTAACTTTTTCAGGAACAGTTAAATTGTTTTCCAAAACAGATGCATCATTTTATTTTTACATTCCCACCAGCAATGGATAATGATTCTAGTTCCTTCACATCCTGTCAACACTTGTAAATGTCATTCTTTTTTATTATAGCTATATCCTAATGTGTGTAAAGTTGTATATCATTGTGATTTTCATTTGTATTTCCCTAGTGACTAATGTTAAACATCTTTTCTTATGCTTGTTGGCCATCTGTTAATCTTCTTTATTGAAATGTCTATTCAAGTCCTCTACCAATTTAAAAAAATTAGACCATCTGTCTTTTTATTACTGACTCGCAAGTGTTTTTTGGATACAAGTCCCTTATTAGATACATAAATTTGCAAATACCTTGTTCCAATCTCTGGCCTTTTCATTTTCTTAATGATGATTTTTGAAATACAAAAGCTTTCATTTTAATGAAGTCTAAAATGTTAATTTTTTCTCTTATGGATTGCTTTTGGTATCAGATTTAAGAAACCTTTCTCTAAATATATTTTATCCTGTATGTTCTCCATTTGTTTATCATCCATTTTGAATTAATTTTTATATATGATGTGAGGTAGAGTTTGAAGCTCATTTTTTCCCCTGTGGTTATCTAGTTGACCCAAGACTATCTGCTGAAAAAACTATTTTTTTCCCTAATTGGATGATCTTGACACTCTTGTTAAAAATCAACTGGCCATAAATTCAATGGTTTATTTCTGGATTATCAACTACAGTCCAGTGATCTGTATGTTTATTCTTACATCTGTATTACACTGTCTTGATTACTGTGGCTCTGTAGTAAATAAACTTTGAAATCAGGAAGTGTGAATTCTCCCACTTTGTTCTTTTTCAAAATTGTTTTGGCTGTTTGGGGTTGGCCTCTATTATTGTTAATGAGAAATAAGCCTTCTAATGATTGTTTTATGGTTAACTGTTTTTTCACTTGCTGTTTTCAAGATTTTCTCTTCATCTTGGCCTTCAGCAATTTGACTATGGTGTAGCTAGGTATGGATCTTTTTATTTTTTTATTTCTTGAAATTTGCTGAGCTTCATGGAGCTGTTAATGTTTTCCATCAGATTTGGGAATTTTTCAGTCATTATTTCTTCAAATACTTTTCCTGACCTTTTTTTTCCCTCTCCTTTCCCTCTAGGATTCCTAGCACACATACGTTGGTATACTTAATATTGTTCCACAAATCAGAGGCTTTGTTCATTCTCTTCAATCTTTTCCCATTCTGTTCTTTAAAAGAATATAATTTCTTGATCTATCCTTAGAGTTCATTGATTTTTTTCCTGCCATCTCAAATATGCTATTGAGCCTATCAAGAGAATTTTTCATTTCAGTTATTACATATTGTTTAAATCCTAGAATTTTCATTTGGCTCTTTTTTTGTAATTTCTATTTCACTACTGAGATGAACATATTTAAAATAGCTGCTTTGAAATCAAACCAGCTCCTGTTGATTGTTATTTTTCCTGAGTATAGGTTTCAATTTCCTGATTTTATATATCCAATAATTTTGGTTAAAATTCAGACTTTTTAGATAATATATTATAGCAACTCTGGATTCTGTTTTACTCTTCTAAGGTTGCAGTTCTTTAAATTCAGCTTTCTTTCTTAGTGAGACCTGGTTACCCCTGGTGTGCAGCTGCTGTTGAGACTCCAGTTTTTTTTTTATTATTTATGTTTAGTCTGGGTTCCTAGTAGATACTCTATGTCTGCATAGATTAGTGATAAACAAATTATTTTAGTAGACACTGTGTTCAAACACCTTAAATGTATAATGCTTCCATTTTCTGATCAATTTATGTGTGTGTTAGTGGGTAGGAGGAATGTACAGTAGACCCTTGTTATCCATGGTTTTGCCTTCCACAGTTTCAGTTACACAGGTCATCTCCTGTCCAGAAGCAGATAATCTTCATTTTGACATATCAGCAGAAGATAAATACTAGCCTGATGCTACATCACAATACCTACGTCATCTGCCTCACTTCTCATCACATGGGCATTTTATCATCTCACATCATCACAAGAAGGGTCAGTACAGCACAATAAGATTTTGAGAGACTACATTCACCTTTTATTACAGTTTATTGTTATAGTTCTATTTGATTATTAGTTATTGTTAATCTCTTGCTGTCCTTAAACTGTAAGTTAAACTTTATCGTAGGTATGTAGTATAGGAGAAAATATAGTGTACATAGGGTTTGGTATGACCTGCAGTTTCAGGCATCCACTAGGGGTCTTGGAACACATACCCCATGGGGTACTCTATGTAATGTTGCAGCCAGTTCTCTTTCATATACTTTCACTCTTCTCTGTGTTCTCTTGGTTCTCCCCAGTACATGAGCATATAATATCTCAGTCAGCCAGGGATATATGGAGAATTTATCTTAGCCCTTCCATATATTTATTTGATTTCTAAAATTTACCTATTAAGTTACTAGGTGGTCCACTACTTGCCCTAACCAGGACTGCAAATTTGGGCCAGCAAAGTTTTGCGCCATTTGTTTCCTACTAGGTTTGGCACTTTTAGCTGACAAAGTCTCAGATTATTGCCCACTGTCTCAAATCTAGTTCACACCTTCTAGCAGCAAATCTACCACTTTTGGTGGTATCACCGCTCAGGTAAAACTACAGTTGTTGCCATTCAAACTAGCCAAGGGGAGGGAGAAAGAACAGAAACAGCCTTGGGCAAAGATGCCAGAAATTCCTGTGGTTCTTACCCAAAATTTTAGCACTTTTTCAAGAATATACACTTTTGAATGTGTTTTCTGCCACTAGTCTCCAAAGTTGGGAAATGGTTTTCTCACAATTCTGTCCAGTTTTATATTTGTTTTTTAGAGATGATTTGCAACCTCTTTATATTGCCAAAACCAGAAACCAGCTAGATAAGCTCTTATACTTAAAAACGTGTGTATACATACACACAAACCTGTAGTTAATATCATTGCTTTACAGGTTGGGATTATACAGTTTGAGCACTAAGATATTGGTGAAATTAAGAGACTTTCATACAATCCATTACTGAAACTGAAATTAGGTTATCAGAAACAACATGCATTTAATAATTTGATAACACAGGTATGTCAGATTATGATAATGTGGTTCACGTCGAGTGGAAAAAGCAGATTAAAAACATATCCAAAATGATCTTAACATTTAAAAATATATGCATACATAAAGATTATATTCACGCGACAAGAAACTGAAATAACATGCTTACATTATAAAATTAAGAGTATTCTATTTGAATAGTAGGCAGGATTACAAGTAATATTTTTCCTCTGTGTTTAAAAAAAATTACAAAAGTCTCTACAATTTTCTGCATTGTTTGTAATACTAATAAAAGAATTAGTATTTTTAAAGAGAGAAAAAGGCTAGTTACACCACATGCATTATTCACACCCAAATCACATGCTGAAATTAAAGCTGTTTCGCAACTTTAAGATAGGAAAATTAATTTATATGGCTATCTTAATGTATTATTTTAGAATACTTAAAACTTCTATAGTAAGTACAGCTAATATCATATACAGAAGAATTTTATTACCATTTTGTCTCTCTGGGTATGACAGAAAGTTTTGAGCAATATTGTCAAAGTACATACTGAGCTGGCTTTAAGTAGCAACACTTACGTACATATCCAACTTCTGGCATATCCACTTTAAATTAACTATATCACTAATTTGGAATATCTTATATTTTAGGAACTGTTCAACCAACTTTTCCTATGTATCACCATCATAAAATTACCACATTATTGTTGTCTTAAGTTTTGTTTCTATGGTTAACTTCATTCTTTTAATGACTTACCTTAGCTGCATGGTATGTACTAGCTTTAAGTAAGCTGTCTTTTTTAGCTTCTGTGGCAAGCAGAATAAATCGATTTAACATTGCAGCCTTACAAAGCCGACTTGCCATTGACACACCACTTTTAAATGGGGAACTAAAGCAGAAAGGAATGAAACATTCACTCATTATTGCTCAAGGATTTATGTTGTCAATTGTAGGGATTAAAATCAACATATAATCTATAATCGTATCTCAATTATGTGAAATGCTTACAGTGAAATATTTTTACATAAAAATCACTCTGAATACTTTCTGAAGCTAGCTTTTTTAATGAAATTAGTGTGTTATAATGTTGCATTAAAAGTTAAAGCAGGAGATGGCTATTTGGAACCTTTCTATTGTTTGAAGCAGAATTAAGTTATAGTGATCCAAATCAAAACTGAGGTTCTACTGTTGACTGGAAGAGGTCACAGAAATATTTTTTGGAATGACGACAATGTCCTGCATTTTGACTGGGGTGATGGTTACACAGGTATGTACATATATCAAAATTAAACCTCATGAAATTGTAACTTTAAAAAAAAGTACATTTCATTGTAAATATTTTGACTAAAAAAGCAAAATATACACACCCACCTCATGACCTTCTATATATATGTATGCCCTAGTAGATAGATATTTTTTCATTCCTAATAAAAGTGGGTCCACAGGTCATCAACTGCTTGGCTATTGTAACTTTCTCTGCATTGTACCTTCTCATTAGTTGTTCTCATAACATAAAAATCCTTCATTTCTCCCTGTGTCCATGCAATGTGACTTTTAAGATTCTCCCATCAGTAACTGTGGTTTGATTTCCCCTCGTACTGAATTTGGGCTAGGTTTTTTTACTTGTTCTGGCAAACAGAATAGGTGATGTGCCAGTTCTGAACCTCAGCTTCAGGAGACTTTATGTCCTCTCTCTCTTGGGCCCTCAACCTGCACTGTGTGGGCCACTGGGACTAATAAGATGGCAAGAGAGCACCTAGACCAGAGCCTAGCCGTCCCTCTGAGATTAGCCAAGCAGACCTACAGCTGACCCCAGATGCATAGGGTTGCCCAACCAAATCCAGCTCAGCTAAGAGCTGTGAGCAGTAATATAATGGTTGTTGGTTTAAGTTTTAAGGTAGTTTATATGCAGCAGTAATTATGAAATCAATTGATCTCTACATAGTAATATTCCATCACTATTCCTTTTGTTGTGGCAGTTTTTCAGATGATTCTCTTGGGCTTTTTTGGTATAAATTGATGCCATATAAAAAAGTGGTAATTTAACCTTTTTCAGTATTTTATATCTCTCAAGTCTTTCTCTTGTTCAAATGCATTAAAATATTAAATAATTGCAATAACAGTAAACAATCATATCTTGTTCTGATAGTGGAAATGCCTCTGAGATTTCATCATCAGTGATGACAATATTTTTGGACGAATAAAGATATATTTTAATCTTAACAAAAATATCAATTCTTTTTTTGTTGAGTATTTTTATCTAGAATAGTTGTAGAGTTGTATTATATGTCTTCCTAGAATTTATGGAGGATATATGCTGTTTTTCCCTAGATCAATTAATATGAAAAATTATATTAATAAGAGTGTCTTATCTGGTATTATTTCTGTTATGCTACTGCCCTTAAATTTCTAGAAAAAACAAAGTCAGTTGGTATTACTGTATAAAACATTATTTTTTCAGTGTATTTTTTCAGATTTTGCTTCCTAACTTTTTATTTAGCAATTTTGCTTGGATATAAAAGTGAGCTGGGTCTGTAACTTTCAGGAGTCTTCTATCACGTTTAAGTATAAGTGATACACTTCCTTCATTAAAGTAGTTGGATGTTTTCCATCTTTTTCAATAACACGGGAAATTTCTGCTATTTAAGGGTTAATAAAATTCCTTTGAAACAATTCAGAATGGTGCTTTCTTTGAGGAAGAGTTAGGGAACCTTCTTGATAACTTTCTCATGAAAATAACCTTTTTAGATTTTTCCCACTTCTGTACAAATTTTAGAAATGTTTTTTCCAAGAAATATGTGTTTCACCCAGGTTTTCAGATACATTTGCATGGTTGAGCAAAGAAGCTTCTTACGATTCTTTTAATTTTCTGAGTAATTACTCCTTTACCATTTATTTAATGAATTAGTGATTTTTAAAATTCAGAATCAGCTTATTACTTCTAAGTCTTTCTGTGTTCTTTAAATTTGTATTTCCAGCTTTATTAATTTCTTTATTCTGTTATTTGTTGACATAAGAATTTAAAATATCAGCTTTTCCATTCGGTTTTGCTTTGCCAGTATATCCTACAAGTTCTGATATGGAATGCTTCCAGGATTCTTGTTTTCTAAATATTCTGCAGTTTCATTTTATATTTCCTCTTTGAGACAAAGTTAGGGAACTCTTTTACCCCAGCAAAGGAATTTTTAATATTTTTATTTTGTTATTCATAGATTTATTGCATCACAGAGAACACTGTCTACATTGATTCTATTTTTTAGAATTGAGATTTTCTTTGTGGCCTAATATAGTTAATTTTTGTTCATGTTCTGTAAGTTTTTGAAAAGTAGGTGTACTTTTTATTTTTATGCTATAGAGCTTCACATAATAAAATCTACATTGTTATTGAAAACTGTTTTATTCTTATGTCTACTTGATCTGTGATGTGAAAGAGAATTATTGTCTCAACCAGAAATATGTTTCTATTTTTCCTCTTCTATAATTTCTGCTTTATGAATGTTAATACTATGTTATTTATTGCACAGATACAACTGTTTTGTCTTTCTTGTGAATTACAATTTATATTGCTACAGGGTCCTTTGCCTTTTGGGGTCTGAATTATACCTGTGTAATACTTAGATCACCTGCTTTGTGTTTGTAATCACCTGGCAAGCATTTAGCCGTAATAAATGAATTACGCTTATTTTATATTTTTATCTGTTATGCTGTTTTACATGTTTTCAGTCAATAGCTTTTTAATGGCTTTCATAGAAGACCTGTTTTGTTTGTATGTGTGTAGTCTGTTATTAAAACTGATATACTTCTTTATGCTTATTCAAAGCATAAATAGCATAATTCACTCTAGTTGAAATAATATGCTTGACTGAGTTCATACAAGAAACATTTGTATATGGTCTTAATTTAAATCTGTTTTGCACAAAGAAAGCAAATTTGGGCATTTAAATTTTTAACTTTATCCATTACCTCATTAAAAATGTATGTTCACACTACAAGAAAGGTTTTAGTTTTACTTGACAATCAGTGTCAGGATATTACAAAGAAACATCTAACGGTCATGTACATTCTGGTTAAGAACAAGACCTTTGTAAGCAAAGTTTCCAGATCAGAATTCCAGCTGTGTCACTTACTATTTGGGTGATTTTAAGCTACACAGTTAACCTAGCTTAAATTTCAGTTTATCTGTCAAATAAAAATATCACCTAATCTATAGGGTTATCATAAGAAGGCAGCATAACATAGTACAATAGTTCTCACATTAAAGTGTACCTAAGTAATATTTGGGAGAACATATCAAAAATACAGATTCCCTGAGCCTTAAATCCAGAAGCTCAGATTCAGTGGAAGAAAGTGAATTTTTAAAACAAATACATTATATGATTCCAGTGGTAATGGTTAGTTGTAGAGTTGTATTATATGTCTTCCTAGAATTTATGGAGGATATATGCTGTTTTTCCCTAGATCAATTAATATGAAAAATTATATTAATAAGAGTGTCTTATCTGGTATTATTTCTGTTATGCTACTGCCCTTAAATTTCTAGAAAAAACAAAGTCAGTTGGTATTACTGTATAAAACATTATTTTTTCAGTGTATTTTTTCAGATTTTGCTTCCTAACTTTTTATTTAGCAATTTTGCTTGGATATAAAAGTGAGCTGGGTCTGTAACTTTCAGGAGTCTTCTATCACGTTTAAGTATAAGTGATACACTTCCTTCATTAAAGTAGTTGGATGTTTTCCATCTTTTTCAATAACACGGGAAATTTCTGCTATTTAAGGGTTAATAAAATTCCTTTGAAACAATTCAGAATGGTGCTTTCTTTGAGGAAGAGTTAGGGAACCTTCTTGATAACTTTCTCATGAAAATAACCTTTTTAGATTTTTCCCACTTCTGTACAAATTTTAGAAATGTTTTTTCCAAGAAATATGTGTTTCACCCAGGTTTTCAGATACATTTGCATGGTTGAGCAAAGAAGCTTCTTACGATTCTTTTAATTTTCTGAGTAATTACTCCTTTACCATTTATTTAATGAATTAGTGATTTTTAAAATTCAGAATCAGCTTATTACTTCTAAGTCTTTCTGTGTTCTTTAAATTTGTATTTCCAGCTTTATTAATTTCTTTATTCTGTTATTTGTTGACATAAGAATTTAAAATATCAGCTTTTCCATTCGGTTTTGCTTTGCCAGTATATCCTACAAGTTCTGATATGGAATGCTTCCAGGATTCTTGTTTTCTAAATATTCTGCAGTTTCATTTTATATTTCCTCTTTGAGACAAAGTTAGGGAACTCTTTTACCCCAGCAAAGGAATTTTTAATATTTTTATTTTGTTATTCATAGATTTATTGCATCACAGAGAACACTGTCTACATTGATTCTATTTTTTAGAATTGAGATTTTCTTTGTGGCCTAATATAGTTAATTTTTGTTCATGTTCTGTAAGTTTTTGAAAAGTAGGTGTACTTTTTATTTTTATGCTATAGAGCTTCACATAATAAAATCTACATTGTTATTGAAAACTGTTTTATTCTTATGTCTACTTGATCTGTGATGTGAAAGAGAATTATTGTCTCAACCAGAAATATGTTTCTATTTTTCCTCTTCTATAATTTCTGCTTTATGAATGTTAATACTATGTTATTTATTGCACAGATACAACTGTTTTGTCTTTCTTGTGAATTACAATTTATATTGCTACAGGGTCCTTTGCCTTTTGGGGTCTGAATTATACCTGTGTAATACTTAGATCACCTGCTTTGTGTTTGTAATCACCTGGCAAGCATTTAGCCGTAATAAATGAATTACGCTTATTTTATATTTTTATCTGTTATGCTGTTTTACATGTTTTCAGTCAATAGCTTTTTAATGGCTTTCATAGAAGACCTGTTTTGTTTGTATGTGTGTAGTCTGTTATTAAAACTGATATACTTCTTTATGCTTATTCAAAGCATAAATAGCATAATTCACTCTAGTTGAAATAATATGCTTGACTGAGTTCATACAAGAAACATTTGTATATGGTCTTAATTTAAATCTGTTTTGCACAAAGAAAGCAAATTTGGGCATTTAAATTTTTAACTTTATCCATTACCTCATTAAAAATGTATGTTCACACTACAAGAAAGGTTTTAGTTTTACTTGACAATCAGTGTCAGGATATTACAAAGAAACATCTAACGGTCATGTACATTCTGGTTAAGAACAAGACCTTTGTAAGCAAAGTTTCCAGATCAGAATTCCAGCTGTGTCACTTACTATTTGGGTGATTTTAAGCTACACAGTTAACCTAGCTTAAATTTCAGTTTATCTGTCAAATAAAAATATCACCTAATCTATAGGGTTATCATAAGAAGGCAGCATAACATAGTACAATAGTTCTCACATTAAAGTGTACCTAAGTAATATTTGGGAGAACATATCAAAAATACAGATTCCCTGAGCCTTAAATCCAGAAGCTCAGATTCAGTGGAAGAAAGTGAATTTTTAAAACAAATACATTATATGATTCCAGTGGTAATGGTTATGATGTGACACCTGGAAAACACAGGTTCTGTAGACTGATTTTGAAAGCTGGCTCCAGCACTATGTAACTTTAGGCCTGTCTTCTCATTTAAAAAAAAAATTTTTTTAATTAGTACAATGCTGCAACATAGTCACACTCAATCAATAACTATTATCATTATTGTTCAGAATTCAAAAAATTGTATCCAAAAAGGTTAGAATAAAAAAAAATTATATTAAAAATGTGTTCTTTTGCTTAAATAATACATGATTTTTAAAGAAATTAGTAATGCTAACCTTTCAGTGATCTTTCCACTTAGACCATCCACAATCTCCAAAGAAATGTCCCCTTGTGCCCAATTCAGACTCAGAGATTTATATTCCAAGTTTGTTTGAAGTGGATATGCAGAAGGTACTAAACTAATATGAGGTTTGTTGACCAAGTAATACATTGGAAGTTTTGAAGTTAGGGTATCACCAACACGGTGCTTTACGGCTATTTCTAATCCTCTAGTATCACTGCAATTCCCATCACCTAGAAAGTAAAAACAAAACAAAACAGAAGACCAAAGTCAAAAGACTATACCCAAAAAGGAAAGAATAGAAAAAAATAATTGAAAATAGTCTGAAGTCCAATTTTTTGTCCTTTATCTTGCAACCTTTCCTACTTCTACTCTTTTTGCAGCTACTTCTATATTCCTTACCAGAACTAGGACAAGGTAATGACAGTAAGAATTTCCATTCAAAAATGAATCTTCTACAGAATGTAGTGAATTGACATTCCAGTGAATAAAAACTGACCAAGAAAGAAATTGGTACTGGCTCATTTTGTCTTGATTTCTCAGAGGACAGCAAGAAACCAGCACATCAAACAGCAGATAAATGTGGCTGAGGAATAGCTGGTGAAAGTAGGTTATTTTTCCACATCTAAGGGCCATGAGTTACAACAATTATTCCAATATCACAATGTTCCAGTTTCACAATACACAGTAATTTAAAGAATGACCTTTCCTGGTTAATATTGAGACAACCACCAAAAGCTTAAAGTTCTCAGTTCAAATAATTCTTGAGGAAGAGAGCTCAAAATGATATAGTGTCAGCAATATAAAGGAATGGGTTACATCAGACTTCAAATGGAAGTTAGGGAAACATCATTCCCACTTAAAAAGTAGTAAGTCTAGAGGATTAAAGTTGGTGGCGTGAGAGGAGAGACAGAGGCTTCCTCCTAAAACTGGATACAATTAGAAAATACAGTTGGCACAACTAATCCTGAGAGGGCAACAGGAAAGAGGATGGCGCCAGACTGCATAAACCTGGAGAAATGAGCAGACCACATCGAACAGGGTAACGTACCAAAGCTGTGGCTCGGCGGGACCGGAGCCCTTCCCCCACCCCAGCTCATCGGCGGGAGGTAGAGAAATGGAGCAGGGAGGGAGTGGAAGGCTTGGGATTGCTGAATACCTAGCTCTGGAGATCTGTGCTGGGAGCACAAAACTACATTTCATGGTCCTTTCATCATATTCTTCTGATTACGGGGTTGGAAAGCTGGGACAGGCGGAGTTCCTGGGGAGACTGGGATTCCGGCCACTTGTGGAAAGCAGGAATCCACATCCAGCTGCTCTGGGACAAAAGCTCATACCTGTGTGCTCGGCCCACTGGTTCAGGCAGTGGAGACAGGCACAACAGCCAGGAAGTGGTGAACAGCTCTTTTCTCCCCACAGGCACCAATACCATTCCCCTGCAACCCCCAACATTGCTTCAGGACTGAACAGCTCCAGAATAGAGCTTCTGGACTCTAGTGGGCACCATATACAAATATGAAATGCCAAAGAAACTGGGTCCAGAGTAAAATTATTAATACAATTCCTGAGAAAGATTTAAATAATACCGACCTTGTGACTCTTCCTGAAAGGAAGTTCAAAATAAAAATCATCAACATGCTAATGGAGGTAAGGAAAGACATCCAAGAACTCAGGAATGAATTCAGGTCGGAGATCCAATCATTGAAGAGCACGATGTAGGGTATTACAAGCAAGTTGGATATGGTGGAGGAGATGATAAATTAAATAGAAACTAGAGAACAGAAATACAAAGAAGCTGAGGCATAGAGAGAAAAAAGGATCTCTAGAATGAAAGAATATTGAGAGAACTGTATGACCAATCCAAGCGGAACAATATTCGCATTATAGGGATACCAGAAGAAGAAGAAGAGAGAGAAAGGGATAGAAAGTGTCTTTGAGGAGGTAGTTGCTGAAAACTTCCCTAATCTGGGGAAGGAGATAGTCTCTCAGGCCATGGAGATCCACAGATCTCCCAACACAAGGGACCCAAGGAAGACAACAAGACACACAGTAATTAAAATGATTAAAAAAAGGGTAGGGACAGACTGTTAAAAGCAGCCAGAGACAGAAATATGATCACCTGCAAAGGAAAGCCCATCAGGCTAACATCAGACTTCTCAGCAGACACCTTGCAGGCCAGAACGGAGTGGCATGATGTATTTAATGCCATGAAGCTGAAGGGCCTGGAACCAAGATTACTTTATTCAGCAAGATAATCATTTAAATTTGAAGGAGGGATTAAACAATTTCCAGATAAGCAAAAGCTGAGAGAATTTACCTTCCACAAACCATCTCTACAGTCTATTTTGGAGGGACTGCTATACATGGAAGTGTTCCTAAGGTTGAATAGCTGTCACCAGAGGTAATAAAAACACAGTAAAGAAACGAGAACAGCTAATTACTAAGCAATTGCAAAATTAAATTAACTATCCCCAAAGTTAATCAAGGGATAGACAAAAAGTACACAATACCTAACATATAAAGAATGGAGGAAGAAGAAAAAGGAGGAGAAAATGAAAAGAAACTTTAGATTGTGTTTGTAATAGCATACTAAGTGAGTTAAGTTAGACTCTTAGATAGTAAAGAAATTAACATTGAACCTTTGGTAACCTGCAGTGAAAATACGTACATACCTATTGATAATCACCCTAAATGTAAATGGACTGAATGCACCAAACAGAAGACATAGAGTCACTGAATGGATAAAAAAACAAGACTCATCTATATGCTGCTTACAAGAAACTCACCTCAAACCCAAAGACATGCACAGACTAAAAGTCAAGGGATAGAAAAAGATATTTCATGCAAACAATAGGGAGAAAAAAGCAGGGGTTGCAGTACTAGTATCAGACAAAATAGACTTCAAAACAAAGAAAGTAACAGGAGATAAAGAAGGTCATTATATAATGATAAAGGGCTTAGTCCAACAGGAGAATATAATCATTATAAATATATATGCACCCAACACAGAAGCACCAGAATATGTGAAACAAATACTAACAGAACTAAAGGAGGAATAGAATGCAATGCATTCATTTTAGGAGACATCAACACACCATTCACTACAAAGGACAGATCCACCAGACAGAAAATAAGTTAGGACACAGAGGCACTGAACAACATACTAGAACAGATGGACCTAACAGACTTCTATAGAACTCTACATCCAAAAGCAACAGGACACACATTCTTCTCAAGTGCACATGGAACATTGTAGGCCACAAAAAGAGCCTCAGTAAATTCAAAAAGACTGAAATTCTACCAACCAACTTTTCAGACCACAAAGGTGTAAAACTAGAACTGAATTGTACAAAGAAAACAAAAAGGCCCACAAACACATGGAGGCTTAACAACATGCTCCTAAATAATCCATGGTTCAACAACCAAATTAAAATAGAGATCCAGCAATATACGGTAACAAATGACAACAACACAAAGCCCCAACTTCTGTGGGATGCAGTGCAAGCCGTCTTAAGAGGAAAGTCTATAGCTATTCAGGCATATTTAAAGAAGGAAGAACAAACCCAAATGAATAGTCTAATGTCACAATCATCAAAATGGGAAAAAGAAGAACAAATGAGGCCTAAAGTCAGCAGGTGGAGGGATATAATAAAGATCAGAGAAGAAATAAATAAAATTGAGAAGAATAAAACAATAGGAAAAAAATCGATGAAACCAAGAGCTGGTTCTTGGAGAAAATAAACAAAATAGGTAAGTCTACCCAGACTTATTAAGAGAAAAAGAGAATCAACACACATCAACACAATCATAAACGAGAAAGGAAACACCACGATGGACCCCACAGAAATACAAAGAATTATTAGAGACTATGAAAACCTATATGCTAACAAACTGGAAAACCTAGAAGAAATGGACAACTTTCTAGAAAAATACAACCTTCCAAGACTGACCAAGGAAGAAACACAAAATCTAAACAAACCAATTACCAGCAAAGAAATTGATGCAGTAATCAAAACACTACCCAAGAACAAAACCCCTGGGCCAGATGGATTTACCTTGGACTTTTATCAGACATACAGAGAAGATATAATACCCATTCTCCTTGAAGTTTTCCAAAAAACAGAAGAGGAGGGAATACTCCCAAACTCATTCTATGAAGCCAACATCACCCTAATACCAAAACCAGGCAAAGACCCCACCAAAAAAGAAACTTACAGACCAATATCCCTGATAAACGTAAATGCAAAAACACTCAATAAAATATTAGCAAACCAAATTCAAAAGTACATCAAGAGGATCATACACCATGACCAAGTGGGATTCATCCCAGGGATGCAAGGATGGTACAGTATTTGAATATCCATCAACATCATCCACCACATAAACAAAAAGAAGGACAAAAACAACATGATCATCTCCATAGATGCCGAAAAAGCATTCAACAAAATTCAACATCCATTCATGATAAAAACTCTCAACAAAATGGGTATAAATGGCAAGTACCTCAACATAAAAAAGGCCATATATGATTAACCCACAGCTAACATCATACTGAACAGCGAGAAGCTGAAAGCTTTTCCTCTGAGATTGGGAACAAGACAAGAGATGCCCACTCTCCCCACTGTTATTCAACATGGTACTGGAGGTCCTAGCCATGGCAATTAGACAAAACAAAGAAATACAAAGGAATCCAGATTGGTAAAGAAGAAGTTAAACTGTCACTATTTGCAGATGATATGATATTGTATATAAAAAACCCTAAAGAATCCACTCCAAAACTACTAGAACTGATTTTGGAATACAGCAAAGTTGCAGGATACAAAATTAACACACAGAAATCTGTGACTTTTCTATACACTAACAATGAACCAATAGAAAGAGAAATCAGGAAAACAATTCCATTCACAATTGCATCAAAAACAATAAGATACCTGGGAATAAACCTAACCAAGAAAGTGAAAGACCTATACCCTGAAAACTATAAGACACTCTTAAGAGAAATTAAAGAGGACACTAACAAATGGAAATTTATCCCATGCTCTTGGCTAGGAAGAATTAATATCATCAAAATGGCCATCCTGCCCAAAGCAATATACAGATTTTATGCAATCCCTATCAAATTACCAGCAGCATTCTTCAACGAACTGGAACAAATAGTTCCAAAATTCATATGGAAACACCAAAGACCCCGAATAGCCAAAGCAATCCTGAGAAGGAAGAATAAAGTGGGGGG